GATGCTTCCTGGACTTTCAGATGTCTTGTTTTGTCCGACCAACAGTTCATCCTCTCATTGAGAAGCTGTAACCAGAGAATGTTTGGCATATTTTCAACAATTTTGCCTGAAAAATAATTGAAACATTAAATAATTAGCTGATCTTTTTCTCTGTTGATGGATGAATCTAATTGGTTGAGCTCTGTGTAAAATACTAAATACGTTAATAATCTAGTACTAACTTATATGTTAGAAAAGTTGCTAGTGCGTTAATGGTTTCAGGTTTTCTTTACCTTAGTCACATCAATAACATGTTAATAATACACATTATTTAGCTCAAGCTCTTATCTTTTTGACTAATATGTTAATAAATGACAAAAAGGAACCTGATTATCCCTTTAAACTGCGTCAGACTACAATGAGTTTTGATGGGTTTGGGATGAAGTGCCAGTGAATCTGACCACGCTCTGTGTTGCTGTTTGTTCTTGTGTCTGCGTCTGCGTTCCTGAGCAGAAGTTCATCGAGTTTGAGGACACGCATGAACAGGATAAGAAGGACCTGCAGAACCATGTGGACAGAAAGGAGTCCCATTTGCGGCAACTGGAACTCAAGATCAAGAACTACGCAGACCAGAGTAAGCACCAACGATGTATTATGAATGTCACTCTTCTCACAATCACTGCTCTCCATTGTGTCACGGGGAGACATCCATTCATTGAGATGAATAATCAGTTATGACCCAGTAGTACGATCTTTTATTCATCCGTCTGTTCCCATGTACAAGGCGTTTCCTTATTCTTTTTCTCTCTTCATATAATCTTCCTCACTTGTTTGATGTCTCTCTCATGGTTTGTTATGCCTACGTCCTCTCTCTGCGCACACACACACACACACACTGACTCACACTCTCTTCCTCCCTCTTTGCTGGGGTAACTAACAGTAATGGGATTATAGGATTTCTGTTATTCACGTCCTCCTAATGCAGCAGTGCATTACCTCCCATCTCATTGGTGGATTACGGAATGGAGGGAGAGCGATTGGCTCTCACGTTCAGTCTGGTTGGAAAAAGTGGATTCACACTTTGACTGGTCTGGTATGTAGTGGCAAAGCAACACAGCTGGTTAAAGACATTCATTCACGCAAAGCTGTGAGAAAATGCCAATATGAATATCTTGTATCTTAATGTTCAGCAGAAGCATCAACAAGGCAAACACGAGTGGCTCAATGTTTGGTTTATTCTTGACTATGAAATGTAACTTGATTTATTTTTACATCAAGTATTTCCCGAATTTGGAAAAATGGAGATCCTTGAGTGTACATGCTCCACGCAGCCTTTTCAGTGGGTTCAATCAACCTGGCCACTCCCAGTGAACAGTAAATCATTCATTCATGACTGTATGTTGCAGCGCCTGAGCTTATTGCATCCTGAGTCATCTAGGACAGAGTCCACAGCTGATGATGGGCAATGACAGCTTAGCTCAGATTTTTCTAAGCCATTCTCCTGCTTTGGTCTTGGCTTTATTTCCCCTTGCTTGGCACTGAAGAGACGGACAATTAATCCGTTTTGTTTTGTTTTTAGGGACATTTGAAGCTCATTTTTATTTGTACCGTCAGATCAGACATCCAGTGATTGTGAGATATGCACCGCTCCTTTAAAAGATAATTTCTATCAGTGAGGTCCTCTCCTCATCAAGCAAAAGGCATCCAACAATGTGATGATGAAGACTTATACATCGGCACGTGTCTCACCCTGTTGGCTTCCCAGCAGATTTATGACTTTAAAGGTTTATTACGCAGCTCCCACACAGATCAGGGAAATCACACTGTTGACATTTCTTTAGTGTTGTTTGTGTTACAGAAAAAAACGTCTTTTTTTGTGTTGGTGTTAAACAGCTTTTTAGGTAAATTAATTATGACTTCAATCAATATCATTGGCTTAATGCTCAGCCGCACAGTGATTTGCCAACGTTGGACAGCACTAATACGAGCACACAGGAGGGATTACTTCAGTCCTCAGCTATCTCCCCTGTGATTAGTGTCTGTATAGCCATTCGCACTTCCCTGCATTACATGTCTCCACCCCCCGATAATGCCAGAATACACACAAAGATGAGGACATCATCATACGACATGCAGAAGCTTTCAGCTGCTGTAATTGATAGTGTATATCCGTCTGTGGCAGGAGCTCTCTGTGTGGTTTAGGATAGACCTGACGCGCTAGTAGGGGATTAGGTGTTGTTGTCATTTCATAAATCAGCCCAACATGGAAACACGTTTCTGTGAGATTACCCCCTCTGGGTAAGGGGGGAACCGGCAAATAGCTCGACTATTTCTTGGCTCTGAGCAGTTGCAACCGGTATTCTCCAGGAAGTTACTGTGCCCAGGCAAAAAACCTTTTTACACAGTTTTTGTACAAACAAGATATAACATGTTGTTTTTTTTATTTTGCAAATAGTTCATAGACAAAGCATTATCCTTGTCTTATGTCTTATAAATTGACTTCCTGAAACTGAGCGGTGTTGTATTCTGCTTCAGTCGGCAGGTTAGAAGAACGTGAGCTGGAGCTCAAGAGAGAATACAACTCCCTCCATCAGCGACACTCAGAGGTAAGGGGGAGAGGAAGGATGAGGAAGGAACTATTGTCAAGTTGTTATCCGTAACCACATTGATGACTAGTTTCCTCTGGCTCTTTGGTTTGACTTCTGCAGATGATCCATAACTACATGGAGCATGTGGAAAGGATAAAAATGCAGCAGATAAGTGAGACTTCAGAGTCAAGCGCGGTCGGTCGAATCAGGTAAGATTCTTAACAGTTACTTTAAGTTTGTATTAATGCTGCGTTCACGGCGTATTGGATGGATGGCAGAGAACGGCAGCTGATAACTTGCAAACATTCACGTCATCAAGACCAGGGTTTCTGTTAGAAAATAATTGGTGCCGGTCTATGTGTCCTCCTGGAAGATTTCAATGTCCCGGACAAATGGGAGGAATTTCGGTCAAGTAGCTTTCTTTTTTCCATCCAGGAGAGAGCGGCCTCTTTCTTTGGGCATCTTCCCATCACCCATCGGAGCATCTCTGTTAATCCCCGACTCCCAGGCCAGGGCAGAGACACCGGGCACAGAGGGCTGGAGATTCACTGACCCAGCGCGGTCCAACACTAGCCTCAAGGTAAGGCGCTCCTTCATGTGAGCTTTAATCACAGTAGGTGGAAAATAATGACGTATTCCAATAGACGCACAAATAATCGTTGAATTACCGACACAAAAATGCAAAAAGACTATCTGAAGACATGGTAAACTCTGATTTCCCACTCTGAATTATGATGATCTTAAATGGTAATCTTTTTTCCACTTGATTCAAATTATTTGGTACCTGAAGATTAAGTGTGCTTTCACCGTTTCAGCTGTTTGACCAAAGTGAGTGTCAACCGTATACAAAGCATACGCAAAACAAAATGCATAAAAATGGAGAATGATCTGATCGTTTTAATCCCGTTTGAGTGTTTCCAGCCGTCCTGCCAGTGATGGAAGATGGAGGAGGTTTGGCTTTGGATCCATTTTAAAAATAGGGAACCTTTGATGAGGCTCGGGCGTGCCAAGGCGTATTTTAGTAGGCGTCTGACAAGGCCGTCTCTGTTTTCAGACATCCTCCTCTGTAGCCATTGATGAATATGCAAACTTGTCTGTTCTCCTGGTGCAGCAGTCAGAGGAGATACATCTGTGAATACTCGTATTCAGAAAAGATAGATGTTTCTATTGATGCAGGTGCAAATTATAATCCAGAGCTTTATTGTATGATGTGTATTTTTAGTGATTTAAATTCCTGTTAAACTGTTTTAAGATTCACAAGTCATTCTTCTAACATAGACGTTATTATGGTTATGGTCACTCAGATGAAATGAAGCTGTTTTTATACGTAAAATACAGTGAGTGGTACTCAAAACATGTTTTTGTGTGTGGGTTATGTCTGTGGCAGTTAGGACCTGGAGGGTGACAATGTTAATTTATCCCACTGCTGCATCTTTGTTAAAACTGGGACATCAGCGCTGTGGCGTGATGCATGATGGGAGTGATGCCGCTGTATGGCTCGCAGCCAGTCACTGAGGGAGAAAAAGACTAGCTGGAATGTGATTAGTCCTTATGCAATCAGTGCTACAGGACGGTTATTGTTGAGCCATACCCTTTTGAACATGAGTGGCTTTGATATGCAGACAGGCTCTTAGACTTAAACAGAGACCTCGTATTTATTTACGGGAGTGGGCGGGGCCTCAAATGAAGAGGAACGACAGGTTAATGAAGTGCATATGCCGCATGCCAGGCCTCCATCCACAATAAGAGCATCCCATTGTCTTTGAAGCTGGCATAATTATATTTTTTTGTTTAATGAAACGGGACCTTTACAAAGCAGTTAAAGGGGCTGAAGACTACACATTTTAAAATGATCAAAAAGGGTGTAGAGTTAGAAAGAAGTGAGCTTACCAGACCTTTGTAGCTCCTCATCTCTGCTGCAGGTTAGCCGCTCGGGGCTACATGAGCAGCTACTAGCATAGAATCACCCGAATCTCTGGCCGAACTGCCGACAGTCCAGTTGCATTGTAGGTAATGTAGGCATGGGATAAAAGACTATATCTCTGGTTCTGCCGCATCAGTTTTGATACCTTTTGTAAAAAATTGTCCGACAAATCTGTTGGATTGCAATGCTCTGTGAAACAAATCAAAGTAGATTGGTACAATACATTAGTTCATATTTCAAAGAAAGTATCTACTTTTGTGACCAATTTCTTAAATGTCTACGGTATTTGTAACTTTGATAAATGATTAATACTTTTACTTCCTAAGTAATAACTTTATTGATAGGGCTCATCAATAAGGCCCAGGACCCACACTGGCTGGGACTCTTACATCACACACATTTACATATCCCTGCACAACTCTTTGCTTTGGATAAACACATGACACTTTAATAACATACTTGTTTTAATGTACTCTTATTGGTTTGTTTACCATGTTTTACTATACATTTTCATATTTTCTATTTTGAAATTCTGTCTTTTACTATTGCACTATGTCTATTGTTATGCACCAATCACGTGTGTAACGTACTTGGCAAGAAACCGTTTCTGATTCAGATTCAGATTCTGACACATTAACAGCTTAGATTTCTGCAGTTCGTATCGGTCCAAATACAACTTGTCTTTATTTGTTTTTTTTAACAAAAATAATTTTTTACACTTTTTTAATGACATTGCATTCATAGACATTTTTATTTTACAACAATTTTTTGTTTTTCTTTAATTTGTCTTATCTTGGCTGTTGGTTAGACTAAAAAAAACTATTTGGTTAGACAGCAACTACTGATATCTGAGAAAATGATGAATTATCTTGATTAAAGATGAATCTATTGCTCTATTGCTAAACTAGACAGTCTACTGTATGAGCTAGCCACATGTGCACATACACACACACACATCTACATACACTGTCATAAGATGGTACTGATCCATTCACATCACAGACATGCACACTTTGTTGCGTATGCATTTCATCTGAACTGCTTCTGCACATGTGAGCTTCATTCTTACTCTCCCCCCCCCACAAGCAGTTGGACTTTGTCGACCCCCCAAAGGCAAGGGAGGGTAAGAGTGTGCAGGACTCTACTTGGGGGAAATCACTGGCAGATGACTGCAAGGTAGTTGGATGAGTGGCGGCTGGCGGAAGTGCCAGCAGCACGCCTGCATTGGCTGTGGACAGCACACTGTTTGTGTTTGCGTGTGTGTGGGCTTCAGTAGTCTCCCCCCCCCCCTCACTATGCTGTTTCATTATTTCAAACGCGTTGCCTCTCACTTTGTGCATTTATAGACCCTCACTTCACAGACCACCTGCGCTAGTTCATGCTACATGCAACCATGTCCTGTGTGAGGGCTTCATTGTTTGGGGTCTTTTTAAAAAGTGCACACAACAATCAGCTGTGTCGCGAATAGAACTGGTTAATTATTTTAATTATGAATCTTTCAAAATCAATAACAGCGTGGTTGCATCTGGTCTCTATTATTCTTTACCATTAAAATGCATGACTTTTATATTTCACATGCTTCTTTGTGAATTTGTTCATTCATTCATGCAGCTCTCCAACAGAACTAACATTTTTCATCACTCATTGTACAATAACGTAGCATCACACATACAAACACTGTCTTTTAATTCTGTATTTGTGTCATACGTTCTAACGTGCAGTCGGTTTATACTTTCAGTCTCTGTGCAGTTTCTTCGTAACTGTTTTTTAGTTTTTGAATATCGTGTGGGTTTATGTTGTGTTGTGTACTGGAGGTAGAATGGCAGCTCCCATTGTGGCCATGTTTAATTTCAGCTCATGTCGTGTGGCTCTGTGTTACTCGTCTGTGTTTGTGTCCTACCTCTGTGTTCATGTTTTCTCTCTGCATCTGATCGGAAAACTTTCCTCGGTTAAAGGTTTAGTGTTTCACGGTTCTGTATTTTTTGTGTTGATTCATAGTATTTCTGTTAGATTTCTTGATGTTTTAATGAGCTCCAATTTCATGGAGCCCCTGTAGCTTAGTATTTCAAATTGTTGTATGTTGTAGATTTTCACTTAGAGTTAATTACGGTAAGAGCTGAGAGAAGTTGGACTTATGTCTTGTGTTATTCTGCATGTGTAGTGTATGTCGTAAACCTCTAACCCTTTCTAGTTTGTGATTAGCTCTTTCAATCTGTCCAACCATGTTAACCTGTTAGATCGTAAACCGTGTTGTTATCTTTGTGGTCCAAATGTGTTCCGTTTGTCTTGTTTTATCTCATTTTTGCAAAGTTTTATTTTGACCCCTGTCTTTGAATAGCTATCTGTAATATCGCTGTATTTAAGCTTCTTTTCATTACAGGATGAGTTGTCGGACTTCACCGGCTCCAAGTCGGCCACGCCAATAACCACCACAGGCACGGAGAAGGGAGATGGGAACAGTAAGAGCACGGAGGTGCAGGCTGCACCGGGGACCAGGTCCATATCAGTGGGTAGGGTCAAACATCATGAAACTGCACAGGTCACAGAATCCCATTCATTAGTCATCTGTCTTAATGGCCTCCATGTATTTCCTTTCTTTGTTATACACAGTATATGAAGGGTTTGGCATACGGTGTTTGTGCTGTAGAGGTTTCATTACTTCATTCTGAAAACATCCTAGTTTTTTTGATTTTGACTCACAGACGGTGTCTTTCTTTCTCTTTGGTATTTTGGCATGCGCTGTGTCAAACGCAGGTTTGCCTGAGAATGAGGAGAGCTCAGAAGTGCAGGACATCATTGAGACCACCCCTGAGCTGGACATGGATGCCATTGGATACAAACCCGGCAGGTAGTAAAAAAACAACAACATGCTACAAGGTCAGTTTTAAACAATGTTTCACCAGGTAGCGTAGCATCACCTCCTGTTCTTGTTCTTCTTCTAGTACTCCTACTAAAGGCATTGAGAACTTGGCATTTGACCGAAACACAGAGTCTCTGTTTGAAGAGCTGTCTTCTGCAGGCACAGGGATCATAGGGGATGTGGATGACGGGGCCGACCTGCTGGGTGAGTGAAAACTTTATCTTCGTTGGAATAATGCAGCACTGAACTGGAGTAAGGTAGCAGCAAACCTGTCAGATACTCTGAATACATTTCATCTGGATTGTGTTGGAATAGTCAACATATGAAATGTCTTTATTCATTGAATTGACTTTGTTTTTTGTAAGTGGCCATGGTATAATCGTACACATAATAAGTTACTTCAAGGTGTCCTGACAGTGGAAAAAACTAATTCCTGTTATCCCTTTTCTAAGTCTGATCTAAATTGTTTTCTCTTCTGTGTTTATGAGAACAGGGGAAAAAGGTTTAAGGATAATCTTTCTAAGTTACTTAAATCTTTTCCATTTGTGAAACGGGTAGGAAAATATATATTTTGCCACGATTATTTTTCTAGTTTTTATTTTTTTCATCTGCGAAAACTGGTGAAGAGAAAGGGTTTAGTGGGTGTTTGTTATTGTAATACTCATTTCAGCCACAAGAGGCTGAACTACACCACTACCCTGATGTTCTAAATTCTATAGGACTAAAAGCTAAATATTGTGTCAGCAAGTTATGTTAACTTATTGTTGTGTCTTTCATTAGGCATTCACAGGTGAAACAAAAAGTAACGTAGAAAAATTATCCCAGCATACTTTTTTTTTTTCAACTGTTTCCATGATTAAGAAACTTAAAACGATTTTCCTCGCAAAACATTTTTTACCTGTTCTTCAGTCAAAATCACAGGGAAGAGAACCATTTAGATCAGACTTCTCTCACTCGCCTCTCAGGGTTTCTGTAATTTCTCAATGTGATCAACTAAAATTGTAAATCTTGTCGTATCAGCCAAATGAAATGTATGATAACCCGACATATTTCTTAAAAATTCCCATAAAGCTGTTTTAATGTCTCTCTCTACTGCTCTGCTCGGCTAGCAGCTCTTGCTCTACTTGATGCTACACCACTTGCTTTGGTCCAGCTGTGATTCACAGTGTTAGCCATCTACCCATGTTAACATCACCTCTCTCTCTCCCGTGTCTCATCCTCTGGCTTTTGTCCATAATCCCAGTGGAGTACTCTGGTGTGTATGACCTCAAACCTTTCCTAAAAAAAACATTACTCTGTAAACATCCTTGACCTATACTCATTAGTCACTTTCTGACATATCCGCCATTGTTACCGCTCACAGCTTCTTCTTCATTATGTTTGATAACAGTAGACATACAGTTGGTTCAGGAATGCACAGTTTACATCTTTTAAGCTGCCTACTTTTGACTACTTTGGTGCATGGATGATGGAGTTCAATGCTTCCTTTGTTGGCCTAACTGTTTTCTTTTTACAGCTTGAATTAATTTTCTGGCTCTTGTATTTTCCCGTTTTTCCTTCTCTGTACTGCTGCAATTGTTTTATCAACTAGCTTTAGAGACCCAACAGCATCCTCTGCTTGTGGAGTCAGCAGCTACATGTTTAGCTCTGGCTCCTTCATCACTTTGATCATTGCACTGTCTCAAACTATATCCGCATTTCTTTCTCTCTCTCTCTCTCTCTCTCTCTCTCTCTCTCTCTCTCTCTCTCT